TCTCATGGCACGTGGAAAAACGGTAGACAAGAGAGAACGGAACACTGAAAGCAGGAAGATGGTGAAAAGTGAAACGTGAAGTGGTGAAGTGCTTGACCTGATCCACTCACAACCTCTTGTGTGCTCGCCATCATCCTGCAGTTGCTGCAGCCACTGGTGATCCCCTTCCACTCGCTGACTCCCCTTCCACTCGCTGACACCCCCGTCCGTCTCGAAGGACATGAAGCACAAACACGCATGAGGAGAGGGAGACACATGCAGAAGCGGCACAACAGTGGAGGGTTAGGAGCAGCAGGAAAGGAGGCGAGTGGTGGAGGCAAGAGCAACAGACATGACACTTGCCTCTACGCGGCGACACTTCACGGCCCCCCTGCAAGCATCCCCTGGCACGTACCACTCCCGCACCATGCCTTCACTTCAGGCGTGCTGCTCTGAGCCATGTCTTCACTTCAGGCGTGCTGCTCCAGGTTGCTCCCCTTTCTCCCCTTTCTCCTCGCAGGAAGGTCATCTCTCGTGCAGCCGTGTCGACTCCCCGTCTCGCTGACATTCCCGTCCGCCTCGCAGCCCATGAGGCACACACACGCACGGGGAGAGGGACACACACACACACGCAGAGGCGGTGCAACAAGTGATGGTCAGAAGCAGCAGGAGGCGAGTGGCGGAAGCAACGGAAACAGACAAGGCAACGGAAGTGGGGGGAGGAAGGGTGGCAAGGACGAGGAACAGAGGCGTGAGAAAGGAGAGGAGAAGCTAGTGGATGAGGGGCTGAGGATGTGAAAGAGCACCGGCAAGGCAGAAGAGATGGCAGATGGCAGCTGGAGAAGGGACTGAGACAAGGCACAATGGAGGATGCGCTCACCTGCTGCTGCATCTTCACTCTTGTCTTGCACAAGGAACAGAAATGCTGTCCCCATCCCACCGATGCACAACGTACTCCACCGCTTGGAGCCTAACATGGACAGGAGCTGGCCCCCCACCCCATCCCCTCCTCTACCCCTCCCACCCCCCTCCTTCCACCCCTCCTCTTCCACCCCTCTCCCCCCCCCCCCCTCCCCCCGATCCTCACAATCATGGGAAGACAAAACGCACACACAGAAGGGAGGGTTAGGAGAAACAGGAGAAGAGGCGAGTGGCAGAGACAAGAACAGCAGACACGACACTTGCCTCTGCGCGGCGGCACCCTACGACTCAATCCACGGCCCCCCTGCGAGCACTCCCTGGCACGTACCACGCTCCAGCTGAATGATTTCCCCTACTTGGCAAAATCTGCAGCTCCTTCAGCCCATGCAGCACCCTACTGTGGCCCGTGCTCCAGGCGTTAGAGAGCTGCTCCAGGATGCTCGTGGTGTGCTGTTGATACCTGCAACAGGAAGGGTCTATGGCTTGTGAGTTGAGCCAAAACCAACCAGTGGCGAGATTTCAAGGAGAAAGCAGTGAAGCACATGCAATACAAGCGAGATGAGCGCTTGGCATCACACAAGGTAAAGCATGTGGAGGGGAAAAAGTAAGGCGCCATTACTACTGCTGCTACGACTCACCAGTGCTGCTGCATTCACCAACGTTGCTGCTGTGCGTCGGGCCGGAACGAAGCCCGCAAGATGGTCACCCCCTGTCCACTCTGTGCCATTCCCGTCCATCTCACAAACCGTGAAGCACACACACACACACACACACACACACACACACACACACACACACACACACACACACACACACACACACACACACACACACACACACACACACACACACACACACACACACACACACACACACACACACACACACACACACACATACACACACACACACACACACACACACACACACACACACACACACACACACACACACACACACACACACACACACACACACACACACACACACACACACACACACACACACACACACACACACACACACACACACACACACACACACACACACACACACACACACACACACACACACACACGCACGCACGCACGCACGCACGCATGCGAGCCAGCAACGGACGCCCGCCCATTCCCCATCGACTTGCTGCCATTCCCGTCCGCCTCGTAGACCATGACACACACACACACACACACGCATGGGGAGAGACACACCCACAAGAAACGATGCAACAAGGGAGGGTTAGAAACAGCAACAAACGAATGGTGGAGGCAAGGACAAGAAGACACGACTCTTGCCTCTGTGCGGCGACGCTCTATGACTCACTACACTCCCACCCTAGAAGCATCCCCTGGCACATGTACCATGACCCGTTCGCCGCTTCTGCTGTTCTTGCGCCGCTCCTACGCCATGCTACAGGCTGTCTTCCGTGCGAGCGAGCAACGGACGCCCGTGCGTTCCCTATCCACTCACTGCCATTGCCCTCCGTCTCGCAGGCCGCGAGGCACACACACAGGTAGACAGGCAGCCAGAAAGAAACAACGCAACAAGGGAAGGTTAGAAGCAAAAAGACGCGAGGGGTGGAGGCAACCGCAAGAGACACGACTCTTGCCTCTGCGCGGCGACGCTCTATGACTCTCTACACGCCCCCCCTTCAAGCACCCCCTGGCACGTACCAGACTCCATCCCCCGCTCGCCGACTCCTGCGCCAAGCTTTCACTTGAGGCATGCTGCTCCTGGTTGCTCGGTTGCTGCTGCTGCTGCTGCTGCAGTCGTTGCTCTCGTCTTGACCGCCACCGTGTGTCTGCCTTTGACTTGCCAATGACCCGTTGCTGCCCCTTCTCCTCACTGAGCGGTTGTCTCTCGCGCGAGCCAGCAACGGAAGCAACGGGTGGCCCTGGCCACTCCGTGCCATTCACCTCGGAGGCACACAGAAGCACAGGGAGAGTAAAAACGCAGACAGAAGGAGCGCAAAGAAAGGGTTAGGATAGGAACAGCACGAGAGGAGGCAAGTGGTGGAGGTGAGATGACTCTTGCCTCTGCGCGGCGACGCTCTAGGACTCACTATACTTCCCCCCTGCAAGCATCCCCTGGCACGTACCATGATCCGTTCGCCGCTCTGCCACTACTGCACCACGCTTTCACTTGAAGCGCCACGCTTGGCTGGTCGTTCGTTTGCTCCCGCCGTCACCACCACTGCGGCGTTGCCTCTCACGCTCGTTGCTCCAGCTTCCTCGGTTGCTGCTGCGCCACGCCTCGCCCCAAGCAGCATTCCGCGGCCACTCCGCGCCATTCCGCGTCCACCCCGCGCCATTCCGCGGCCACTCCGCGCCAATCCGCGACCAATCCGCGACCAATCCGCGCCATTCCGCGGCCACTCCGCGCCATTCCGCGTCCAATCCGCGCCATTCCGCGTCCAATCCGCGCCATTCCGCGTCTACGCGGTGCCATTCCCCTCCACCTCGGAGGCCGCGAGGCACACACACGCATGGGGAGAGAGGGACAGCCAAACAGAAGCAGCGAAACAAGGGAGGGTTAGATGGAGCAGGAAGAGAGTGGCGGAGCAGCAAGTAACAGACACGACGCTTGCCTCTGCGCAGCGACACCTACGACTCACTTCACGGCCCCCCTGCAAGCACCCCTCCGTGCACGTACCACGCTCCGTCCGGCACTCTGCAACTGCTGCGCCACGCCTCCACTTCAGGTGTGCTGCTCCTTGCTGTCTCTCGTGCGAGACAGCAACAGCCGCCGCGTCGATTCCCATCCGCTCGCTTCCATTCCCATCCGTCTCGCAGGCCGTGAGACACACACATGTACGGGAAGAGGGACACGCACACAGAAGCGGTGCAAGAAGGGAGGCTTAGAATCAGCAGGAGGCGAGTGGCGGAGAAAAGGGCAACATGTAACGCATAACCTACTCTGCCTCATCTACCGCTAACTTCCTAAGTCAACATCGAGAGACTTCCTTGATGAGAAATGACGTGAAGGCAATCGGGAAGGTTGAGTTGGAGAAGAACATCGGTTTGGTTTTCCCAACCCTCAACCTTGAGGCTTGGAAACTTCCAACCCATCAAAATGAAGATTGGAAAGGTTGGATTTCCAACCAATCAAATTGTGCCAGTTGTTGTTACAATCCACACAAACTTAGAACAACCATACAATTGTGCTAAGTTGGGTTTTTCCCAACCAAACGAAATTACCACCTAGGCTCCAAGCCTATTAGCTCCCCAACCATGGAAGCCATGGTTGGGAAAAGCCCCAAGGGGTATGATGGAAAGGGTTGGAGCTCTCAAGCTCATTTCCCACTTCCCAACTCCAACAATCTAACTTGGAAATGGGATTTTAACTCTAAGTCTTTTGGGTTCTCCTAATAAGCTCCCCTACACAACTAGACTTGTGATTTTTCAAGGACAAGCTCTACAAGAAGCTCCTACCTACTTATTAAAGCTTCATCAACCTTCTTCAAGCTCCCTTTCTCCTCTCAAGCTTAGGAGTACTATCAAGGCTAAATTACCCCTTGGTGGGATTAGTTAACCTTGAAAGCCTTGTATCTTGATTTTATATAAATGTTGTCAAGTGTGATTTATATTTAACACACGGTTGCCCGTTGTTATAAGGGCCGTGATTGTTACGTTGGTATCTAGAGCTAGGGTTATCCTAAGCCTAGTGGGGATTTTGCCCCTAGAGATTTTTTTTTTATAGATCTTGGAGTTGTGGTTTCTATTTAAGAGAACACTCAAGATCTGGAAGCTTGAAGAGTTCAAGATCTACAAGATCTACAACTGCAATTTCAAGCTAAGAAGAGAGATTTATCTCTCTTGCCCACCTTTTGGTGGAAGACTCTCTACTGTTGAGTAGTGGAGTATAAACTTGGATCTGGAGGATTTGTTGAGGGTTATACAAGTTCTCTTCATTGAGATTTGGATAGACCCTGCCCTTTCACTTAGGTGATTGGGAGTGCTTGACAACAAATCTGTTACCTTGGGTAACTTGGATTATTCTGTAGAAGAAGTTTCTTTTATAAGAATTTCTTGCTTTACCATTGAGGTGGTAAAAAGACTTTAACAGAATCAACCCAGATCTTACAAGCTCCCTTAATCCTTATGGCATCTGGCCAAGAGAAGGATATGGCAAGGGAGGAAGGGCCCACTGCACCTAATGAGGTGGTGAACAATGCTGCTGAGATTGACCTCAATCAAGATGAGGCAATGGCTGACATTGAGTTGGATGATATTGAGGACTTGGACCTGGACCTTGGAGATGAGCATAACCATGGTGAAGCTGAGAACCATGATGAAGCTGAGCACCATGATGAAGCTGAGAACCATGGTGGCGCTGACAACCTTGGGGAAGAGGATAACACCGGTGGAAAGGAGGCCACTGGTGATGAAAATGACTTCACTGAGGGTGAAGGCACGACTTATCCTATCTCCGAGGAGATTGTCCAACTCCAGGCTAAGGTGGCAACTCAGAATATCACCATCCTGCAGCAGCAGACGTCCATTGATGGACTCAAGAAGCACACTCAGAACCTCGAGGCTAGACTGAGCATTACCATGAAGGAGGTTACAGAGTTCCGTCGCAGCCTGGGCACTAAAAAACGCCAAATTGAGTGGCTTCTGAAGACTTGCAAGAATCTGCAAGCATCGTTCAACAAGTTCAATGAGCAGTTGACACATCTTAGGAGGGAGGGTATTTACGAACCTCCTCCTGGGCGTAGATCCGCTCCTGCTGCTCAGCCGGCACCCACTCCGCCCGCACCCCCGGCGGTAGGTGCTGCGACGGCTATGCATCAGCCACCTCCTACTGAGACCTCGCCCTTTGGGTCTCTCGCGGCGCCTCTGCCTGAATTTAACCATAACAGGACGGAGGTGCAGCCTTGGCTCGACCTGGTGGATTCCACCATGATCCTTGCAAATGTGCGCCCCGAGGCTCGCGTCACTGCAGCTACTCGTGCGTTGGACGAGGTGGCCCGCAGGGCCGTGTATGGTGCTAAGAAGCAGGCACAGGGACCATTTGAATGGCCGGAGTTCTGCACCGCGCTGAAAGAGGCATTGATGGTCAAAAAGTCCGACCTGGAACTGCGCGGACGCCTTGAGCGTATCAAGTGTCCTGACCGTTCGGTGCAGGAATATGCGGTCGAGTTTGAGGCCGCAGCACGCTTGCTCCAAAAGCCCTTGGCTGAGGAGGAGATGATGCACATCTTCATGAAGGGCCTCCCTGTCAACCTGCAGCAGGCACACATGACCGGCGGCATGACCAATTGGATGACTTACAAGGAGATGAAGGAGCAGGTGATCAAAACCGACAACATCATTCGCACGTACATTTTTGGCCCCGAAAAGACAAGCCTGCAGCCCCGTGCTGAGGGCTCTGGTGGTCATGGGAACCGGCCCCAGAATGCGAAGGGTGGAAGCGGTTGGAACAAAAGGCCTTTCCAGCAGCGTGATCACCAGCCTGGCCCACAGGCCAAGAGGCCTAACGGAGGGGGAGGTCATGGACCTAACAAGCCGGACTTCTCTGACAAGCAGTGCAGAGGCTGTAGAAGGATGGGGCACGTCATAAAGCAATGCCGTGATAAGAATGCTATCAAGTATTCTGGGAAGCCTAAGCCAGGCGGAGCTGGACCTTCTGGAAAAGAAGGATTTTCAGAAGCCCAACTAGGGTGTGGGTACCTAGTTGGAGGAGTAGATCGAGTGGATGAGGCATATGTGCTATGTGATGATGATATATTAAAGCTAGAGAAGCTTGCTGATTGCAAAATCTCTTGTTTGTTTGCCTCTTCTTTTAATAGAAACTCCGTTTTTTATCCTCGATCGTACCCACTTGAGAAAATTTCCATGGAAGCAATGCAAGATAAATTTTCAATTATTTTCTGTGGCTTGGACATTCTGCGTTCTGCCATTGAGATTGTGAGTCGTTGCACTCAAGAGCAACCCCTGACTTCGGTTGCGTTGGTGACTCGCACAGTGAAAGGCGAATTGTTCCATGTGCTTCGTGGATGGCCGGTCCTAGCCGTGTGGGACAAGGGACACCATGTTTGGTGGACCAAATCTCAGTCACATGGACGCGCTCGTCACAACGTCAAGGCGTACTTCAAACCTTCGACGAGTATTGTGGCATGTCCTATTCGCCCAAAGCATCAACGAAATTTGTTGCTTGCGGGTAGCGTGAACGGGGATAATGCAAAAATCATTGTTGACACGGGTGCAACTGTTTCCCTCTTTGACGAAAAGTGGGTCACAGCACGCACGATCCTAGTTGAAGGACCGTCTTGCCCCATTCGCCTTGGTGACGATAGCATCATCCCAAGCAAAGGGCAGACACGGATCAACATGGAGATCGAGGGTTATCACGAAGAGATCCGCGCGTATGTTTTACCCCTTCTCGCTGGTGTCGACCTTGTCCTTGGAATGGATTGGCTTCGAGCGAATGAAGTCAAGCTCGATTTCCAGGACAATACTGTCTCATTCTTAAAGAATGGTGACACAGTCCAATGGAAAGTGCCTAAGGACTTGATCACGAACGAACAGCAAACGTCGAAGCGTCCCGATGTGAGTTTTGCGCTCGCAAACGAGTTCGGACAGCATGTTCGACAAGCCGATACCTTCTTTGTGGTACAGCTTGAGAATGCTCAACACGAGATGCCTGGGGTCGAGGATTTCCCGCCTCAGATGAAAGCACTGGCGGTCGAGTTTGCAGAGGTTTTTGAGCCCATCCCAGATGGCCTTCCTCCGGACCGTGCTGTCGGTCACACCATTCCAGTGGAGCCTGGAAAACTCCCACCTTTTAGACCTCTGTATCGCCTCAGTCCAGCTAAGTACGAGGAGGCTAAACAGCAAATTGAGGAGTATCTCAGGAAGGGATGGATTGAACCAAGCGCATCACCTTACGGAGCGCCGATCTTGTTCGTGAACAAAAAAGGCGGAGGGTTACGCATGTGCGTAGACTACCGTGCTTTGAACAAGATAATGGTGAAGAACAGGTATCCCCTACCGAGAATAGAGGACCTGTTCGACAAACTCCAGGGTTCCCAGTGGTTCAGCGCATTGGACCTCGCGCAGGGGTATCACCAATTGCGCATCACCGAAGAAGATGTACCCAAGACGGCTTTCCGATCGCCGTTTGGTCATTTTCAGTGGCGAGTGCTGAGCTTTGGGCTTGACCAATGCTCCTGCATCTTTTCAGAGAGCTATGAATGATGTCTTTCGCGAGGCGATTGGACAGTTCGTTTTAGTCTATCTGGATGACATATTGGTTTACTCCTGGACGGAAGAGGAGCACACGCACACCTTAAGTGGGTGTTAGGAAAACTTCGAGAGCGTAAGTATTATGCTCGTCTGTGGAAGTGCCATTTCTACAAACGCGAGTTGGAATATCTTGGCCATCTCGTGGGAAATGATGGTCTCAAAGTAGACCCAAAGAAAGTTGTCGCAGTCCAGAACTGGCCGGTACCACAAGATGTGGGTCAAATCAGGTCGTTTTTGGGACTGGCGAACTATTTTCGTCGATTCTTGCAGAATTATTCTACCGTTGTTGCCCCATTGACAACCCTCACTCACAAGAGTAGTGCTTGGCAATGGACACAACAATGCCAAAAGGCATTCGACGAGGTCAAGCGATTGCTGACCAATGCTCCGGTTGTGGTTTTACCAGATCCGACAAAGCCCTGTGAGGTTGTTACTGACGCTTCATTGATTGGGATTGGGGCGGTCCTCTTGCAAGAAGGGAGACCAGTGGCATTTGAGGGTCGAAAGCTCTCCCCGGCAGAGCAGCGCTATACGACGTCCGAACAAGAACTGTTGGCGGTCGTTCATGCGCTACAAACATGGCGATGTTATCTAGAGGGTGTGGACTTTGTGGTTACGACTGATCACTGTCCAAACACCTACTTCTCCACCCAAGCCACGCTTACTCGACGTCAAGCCCGATGGGCGGAACTCCTTAGTGGGTTCACCTTCGATATTCGATATCGAGCGGGTTCGACGAACCTGGCTGACCCCCTCAGCAGACACCCGATAGGGGCAGCAACACGTCTAGACGACACAGAGAATGCGGCAGTATTTTCTGCTTACTTCAGTGTCCTAGCAACGGCTCGAGTGAGTGAGATTACCTTCAGTGGTTTCCTTAAACGCATCCGCACAGGGTATCAAATTGACTCCTGGTTTCAGGACCCACGAAACACGAAGGAACTCAACTGGGAGCATGAGCTCTGGTGGCGTAAGAAGGAGATCGTTGTACCTCACGTAGGTAGCCTGCGGAACGATATTATGCAAGAAGTGCATGCCACTAAGTACGGAGGGCACCTAGGGGTCAAAAAGACCAGGTGGGCCTTGAGTGATGTATATTGGTGGCCGGGATTGGGCACTGAGGTCCAGCAATTCGTGGCGCACTGCGACGCATGCGCACGAAATAAAACGGACACAAAGAAGCCTGGTGGCTTGCTTCAACCACTCGAGATCCCGAATGAACCTTGGGAGAGCGTATCCTTGGATTTTATCACGGACCTTCCTAAGACTCGTGATGGCCATACAGCGATCCTAGTGTTTGTGGATCGTCTGACAAAAATGGTGCATTCCGCGGAAGATACGGCCAAATTGTTTGTGGCACACGTTTTCCGCTTACACGGGTTACCACGTGTATTGGTGTCCGACCGGGATCCGCGCTTCACAAGCCGGTTCTGGCAAGAATTCACACGGACACTAGGAACGAAGCTTAAGTTGTCATCGGCGTTCCACCCACAAACCGATGGGCAGACGGAACGAACAAACCGGACACTTGAGCAGATTCTTCGTTCATTCATTGGCCCAACTCAGGATGATTGGGACGAGTTGTTGCCTGTCGTTGAATTCGCAGTGAACAATTCAGTTCATGAAGGTACACGTGAGAAACCTTTCATTCTGAACTATGGTCGGCATCCCACAACGCCTGCTACACATGGGATCGGCGGATTGAAAATTCCAGCCGCTAAAGACTTTGTTGGCAAGCAGCAAGAAGCGCTTAAGTCTGCTCGCCAGTGGCTACAACTCTCTCAGCAGCGACAAAAGTCTTACGCCGACATGAAACGCCGGGAAGTCTCGTTTGAGGTTGGAGACAAAGTTTTGTTAAGCACGAAGAACATTCGTCTCAAAATCCCTGGAGCACGAAAGCTGTTCCCTCGATGGATTGGGCCCTTCGAGGTGATCAAGCATGTTGGTGTGGTAGCTTACAAGCTTAAGCTACCTGACACTTTACAGATTCACAACGTCTTCCATGTGTCTCTGTTGAACAAGTACGTTGCAGAGGGCAAGTACTTACCGCCACCAACGATCGTCCTGGGGGAGGAACTGTTTTATGAAGTCGAACGAGTGCTAATGCATCGTGATCGACAACGCGGCCGCAAGACAGTACGAGAGTTCCTCATCAAGTGGAAAGGCTATGGGCCTGAACACAACTCATGGGAGCCAGAAGAGCATCTGACTGAAACTGCAGTTCAGTCATACATGACAGACCTGGCTCGACGAGCTGCCGCACAACCAGTGGAGGGCGTTGATCCTGGTCGTAATGTGACACGGCGTACTCGAAGCGCTCGTCCTCAGAAGCACCCTGAGGCAACGGGGACGTTGCCACCTAGGGGGGGAGGAGTGTAACGCATAACCTACTCTGCCTCATCTACCGCTAACTTCCTAAGTCAACATCGAGAGACTTCCTCGATGAGAAATGACGTGAAGGCAATCGGGAAGGTTGAGTTGGAGAAGAACATCGGTTTGGTTTTCCCAACCCTCAACCTTGAGGCTTGGAAACTTCCAACCCATCAAAGTGAAGATTGGAAAGGTTGGATTTCCAACCAATCAAATTGTGCCAGTTGTTGTTACAATCCACACAAACTTAGAACAACCATACAATTGTGCTAAGTTGGGTTTTTCCCAACCAAACTAAATTACCACCTAGGCTCCAAGCCTATTAGCTCCCCAACCATGGAAGCCATGGTTGGGAAAAGCCCCAAGGGGTATGATGGAAGGGGTTGGAGCTCTCAAGCTCATTTCCCACTTCCCAACTCCAACAATCTAACTTGGAAATGGGATTTTCACTCTAAGTCTTTTGGGTTCTCCTAATAAGCTCCCCTACACAACTAGACTTGTGATTTTTCAAGGACAAGCTCTACAAGAAGCTCCTACCTAATTATTAAAGCTTCATCAACCTTCTTCAAGCTCCCTTTCTCCTCTCAAGCTTAGGAGTACTATCAAGGCTAAATTACCCCTTGGTGGGATTAGTTAACCTTGAAAGCCTTGTATCTTGATTTTATATAAATGTTGTCAAGTGTGATTTATATTTAACACACGGTTGCCCGTTGTTATAAGGGCCGTGATTGTTACACAACATGCACGACTCTTTGCCTCTGCGCGGCGACGCCCTACGACTCACTTCACTGCCCCCCTGCAAGCACCCCTGGCACGTACCATGCTCCGTCCGTCGCTCTGCCTCTCGGCCGCTCCGTCACTTGAGGCGTGCTGCCCGTTGCTTGGTTGCTGCTGCTGCTGCTGCTGCTGAAATCTTTTCTCTCGTTGTGACGGTATTATAACGGCAAAAACAGCAGCTCTGTCGCTTTGACGGCGGAAACAGCAGCTACGTCACTTTGACGGCGGAAACAGCAGCTCCGTCGCTTTGATGGCGATAACAGCAGT